TTTGCATGATTTACAGGAAAAACAAAAGCCTAAAAACAAATGCAATCACCTTCAGAACAATTGTTTCCCACTTCACCAAAAAAGCAACTAGATCAGCAGAGATGCAGCTCCAGGCAGAGATGAAACAAATCCAGAAAAGAGGAATAGATCATTTATCTGGTTAAATGCAGTTTACGAATTGGACACTCTCTGGAGATGTATCCACACTAGAGCCTTGCTAAGTATCCTGTTAAGTGTGTCACTGAATTCAATAAAAAGCTAAAGACTTTGAAATATTACATCTAAAAATATGTATACAGTTTTGTTATGGGGAATTAGGATTAAAGTTAGAAGTTATGAACTTGTGGTTCCACTTAACCACCTGAGAAGGGTGGTCAATTGAATATTTCATATTTTATTGGGTTAAGCCCACTTTCTGAGTTGCAACTCAGTTTGGAGACAGAAGGAAGTGGAGCTCATTTTGCTCTGCAGTAAGAAAGCCAGCCTGCTGGGGGTGCTTTGTGTGCAGAGGTTGATTCACCAGGGAGCCCAGCTCCTTGTGAATCGTCAGGTGTTCCTGATGGTCTTTCCAGCCAGAGGGTGGATCCCCCGGTCCCACAGTGCAGCTGTTTCCACACGTGTGTGTGCGTAACAGCTCGCAGGGCTCTTCCACCATCTGCAAACAGACCTTATCAGCCACCGCTGGGGAACTGACGTTTCGCGTCCAGTGACGCAGGCGAGAACAGGCAGAGGAGAGGAAGTTTTCTCCTGCAAAAAAAACATGTTGTATTTGAGTACAATTAAGGTTAAAGCCTTTGCAACAATGTGACACCTCATGATCACATCAAAGTGGGCATCATAAAGGCAGTGGCCTTGCATAAACAGACTTAAATCTTTCCGCCTGAATTTCAATGTACCAAGTTGCTTTTGCATCACTTTGTGCTCTAGATCACAATTTCGAAGCACTTGAGAGTTTGCAAGTAATTCTTGAGAACGGCAATCAAGCCTTTGGGAGACTCGAGTACAGTGCTTTCATTAACATTACATTTGTTTTCTAGAAAATTCCTTAGCATATTTAAAAAATCGTTCTGTAATGTAGCCTAAAAACAGTGTTTTACAAAAGGACATTGGGTTCTAACAATCTGAGGAACTGACGTTGGATTTTCATTGCTGTGCCTTGTACAGTAACTGTTAAATAATGGAAAATGTAAAACAAGAAAGCACACTCAGATATCTACAGTATATATAGAATCTGCTACCTTAAATCATACACATCATTATCATTGCATACTCTTCATACGATGAAATATACCTATTTCACCATAAGCATGACCAAT